GAGGTGCCACGTGCTGAACGGCAGATGGGCTGTGGGTGACACCATGTGGCAAGGCCAAAAAACGACACTTCTGCCAAAGCTCTTCTGCCTTCCTGTCCCTGAAGCTTGTGCAAGAACAATCCAGAACTGACTCATCGTGGTGTGAAGAGTCCTCAGACTGAGGGAGGAAGGTGACTGACAGTGTCCCCAGGCTTCCCAATCCCGTGCAGAACAGGCATTTGGCTGTCAACCCTCAAGTACCAAAACCTCCATCCCCTGCAAGGGCGAAGACTAGACTGAGCAAGCCTTTCCACCATGCTGTCCCCAAGACTTGAATTTTAGGGCCTGCTATCTCAGGAGATTTCATTTCTTCAAAGCCCTGACTTGTCCACTCTGATTGGAAATGAGAGGGGGTCAAGTTGGGCTTGTTCACAGTGCTCTCCACAGTCACAGGTTTCTTTAGGTGGATATCACTTTGTGCGCTAGTACCAAACCATGCATTTACAAGTAAAACTGAAAGCCTAGATCTTCTGGCTTCTCTGAGTTGTCACACCTGCCCAGAGGTCAATGGAGCCAGAAGGGAAATCGGTGTGCGTTCATGTCACTTACACACACTAAAGACCTCCTTCTGAACCCAGCGACTACAATCGCAACCAGACAGACAGATGGAAAAAAAAAAACCTGTAAGGATTCTGCATGTTGAATTTTGAACTTCCTTAAAACTGCTTTAAGGTGGTGGCCATGCCCTGACATGGTCCTTTCCCTTACGCTTGTATGAAGGTTTGCTCTCATCTGTCCTAGGAAGCTGAAGTTGATGATTATACAGCTCCAGCACTTAGAGGCCGTGGATGGGAAAAAGGTCCCCTGATGAAGCACAGGCCATGGCCCCAAAATCCATAGTTTAAGTACACCAGACAATGCATAAGGGAAGAAACCAGGCACAGGGAATTGAAGAGACTTGTTGGCTGACGGGAGAAGAGGTTCAGCTACACCTCCTGACTCCTTTGACGATGCCCCATCCATTACATAGTGCTGTCTCTCTGCCCCTGCGCCCATCGGTTAATCACTCCTGAAGCGAAGTCTCCTTTCAAAAGAGTGCTCTTGGAGTTGGGGACATAGCTCCACAGTTATTGTGTCTTAGATCCCCAATGAATTATGCAAAAGATACCCCTCAGTCTGGGTGATGAACACAGCTTGTGTCCCTAGGGGCAAACTGAGTTTCATTGCACCTTGTACATGCTCAGAGTCCCTGAGACATCCCAGCACATGAAGAGCCCAGGAGATGTATGAGCTCTGAAAGGTTACCCAGGAGTAAAGAGCTGGGCAATCATACTTCAGCTGATTTATCAACTCAGACTCTGCTACAACCAGTGCAGAGGTATGACTTTTACGCAGAGCTGAACAACTTCCCCCAGCAGACCTTCATCCCCATCTCTTTTCCCAGATTCATACAGAGGCCCCAGCCAGAAAGGGGATGGCTTCTTACCTGGACTTGCAGCTGGATTCTCAGACTTCTTCTCTGTTTATGGAAAGACAGAAGAGCACACCTCTGATGCAACATGAAGCAATACAAACCTCTTCCCACCCCGGGAGCCGCTTGGGCAAGAGCAGAGGAACCTGGGAGTCTTTGGAAACATGAGGGCCACATATATGATTAAAGGACTGGAACATCTGTCACCCCGAGGGGAGACTGAGGACTGTTTAGCCTGAAGAAGAGAAGGCTCAGGGGCAATCTCATCAGTGTTTATAAATGTGATGGGAGGGAATGAAGAAGACTGAGCCAGACTCTTCTCCGCGGTGTCCAGCGACAGGGCAAGAGGCAGCAGGCACATATTTAAACACATGAAATTCTGTCTGAACATAAGGAAACACTTCTGTACTGTGCAGCTGGTGTAGCGGTGAGTTAAACAGCCCCACTGTTGAGACAAAATCCTTGCTCCTAAAGTTCTTGAGGTCCCTCATGAACACGGATGGTCGTATGGACTTTGGAGGTTTATCCCAAGAGTCTGACCTTTCCCCAGCAGGTAGACTGAGAGACCCGCCTGGCTGAATCCATGAGCTCAGAGTGAGGCAGGCAGGAGCAAGAAGTTGCCCTCCCAGCAACCCAGGGAGACAGTAGCTCCAAGATCCCGCCACAGCCAAGGCGTCAGGGACCTGAGTGCACTAATGAGGGCCTTAATGGCCCTGCCAACCTCACCTAGGGCCTCCATTCACACTCTCTACCCATGAGCCCCAGAGCTCCATTTCAGCTGATGTCTTGGCCCCTAGTCCTTGCCTGGGATTATGTTGCAGGTATGCCTGTCTCCAGCTCTGTTGCAACCATTCCCATACCTGCCATAGACCCTGTTGATCTAGGCCCTGACCTGGTGACTGTCTTCCCACCTTGGTCTCAGACCTGCTATAGACTGCATCACTATGGACTTGTCTAGCAATTATTGGCGTGTGCCTGATCCTGGTTACCATCACCAGAACTGATTCTGACCTGATTTCATGGCTCGAGTTCAGGCCTACTTCATCACCACAAACTTGCCTGGTGATCTGGACTCTTGGTTGAACCTGGCTACCGTTTCCAGGCTTGCCCTGTTTACCCTGATCTGCAACTGTAGTACAGGGTCCTGGCCGGCGAGGCCTCTGCCTTGCCTTGTTATCACGCTTGGCTCCCATCTCTCCCTCCCTTAGAGAGCAGCAGGCCCTCATTGCTCCCTGACACAGGGTTACCTTTACAGTGGCCATCGTAATCCACCTGGATTTTGGAGCCAGTGAGGCAGGCATCACGGTGCAGCTCACAGTGGTTCAGGTACGTCTTGCCATTGCTACCGCACACAGGCCTCTTGTGAGGTTTGCATTGCTGTGAGAGAGCCAGAGAAGACAGCATTGTACCTGCCTCTTTGGGACAGCTAGAGGGAGGCAGGTGAGTCCCAGCATCAGCCCAACTCAACAGAAGCACTTGGCACAGACCTCTTAGCCCAAACGGTGTTTGGAGCAGGCTGAACACTCCCATCGCCACCCCAAAAAAACCCACACAGAGAAGCCCACGGGTGTGGGTTCAAAGGCTTCACTTTATCCCAGCCTCCGTCACCACCACCATCACAAGAGCCTTCTTGAAAGCAGAGCCCAGCAGAGAAATCAGTGCCCAGCTGTGCTGGTTTTGACTGGGATAGAGTTAATTTTTTTCCACAGTAGCTTGTATGTGCTGAAAACAGTGTTGGTAA